CGGGGGCCAAACGGGGGGAAATGCCGAGGCACGTCGTGCAAAGCAGTCCTTGGAACCCTGCGCCCGTCCCCTGGGTCATGTTTGCGCTGTTCCCTTCTTCCTGGCTGTTCTGTGAGAATTCCAAATCGGAATGCCAGGTCTGGTTTGCCTGCTAAGGTAATTCCGGTTAGCTCCAAAAAGTGAATCAGAAACCTGACTTTTTTTCCTTCCCCCAGAGGCTTCCCATCACTTTCCGTGTGCTTTTACCTTCCTGTAATCAAAAAAGCCACACAAAACAGACACGAATGCATTTTTCTTTTTGAAGGGGGGAAGGGAGGAAGAGCGATTAAATGCAGAATTCTGATCTAAAATAGTAATTTGAGAAACTACTTACAGTCTTTGCTGTTTTAACAATAACTCGAGGAAGTGACTTGGCTTCCTTATTCTTCAGTATTAAGCACAAAAACATTTCTAAGAATGGAAAAATAACAAGACATGTTTTTGTCTTGACACCTTTTCAAATTTGTTTTTGTTCATGTAATTGATAGACTTTTTTTAAAAAATCCAAGTCTATTTCAGCATTCTACTGAAGGATTCTAAAAAAATCTATATAAATTCAGACTTTCAGTTACCCGATACCTCTTGATTTTAATATCGAGTAATTTTTGATTAATTACAGATATAAAAGGGATGCAAAATTTTATAATACTTACATGCCACAAGATCACCTATTGTCAATTATTTAAAATAATTCAGTTCAATTTAAGTGTGACATTGACTTTTTTTTTTGTATTGCAGAACATTCACTGGAATCATCAAAGAATAAGGTAAAAGATACTAGAGATGAAACTGTAATAAAACCTTCTTTCAGAGACAGATCCCAGAAAAGAACACGGGCATTTACTTTTTGAGGTGGAGGAAAGTAGAGGAATAAAAGGCAGAGAGAACAGCCTTTTGGGTTCTGTATGCAAGATTTCTCAAAAATAACCCCATGTTCTTTCAAATGATCATTTCCATCTCTCTGAAGGATTACCTTCTCTTCAGCAGCGAGTCAGAAAAGTCATTATGCAGAGCTGCTGTTCCTGGAGAGGGTCAGTTCTCCCTATCACAACAATCTCTTTTGCTGTTTTCTTAGAAACCAAAGTGTGATATAGATGAATGATATGGATAAAGCAATTAAACACAGTGTACACAATAGTGTCTTGAATTGTTGAAAAAAAAAAAAAGTAATGCAAGTTTACGAGTAGGTGTTTAACTGACAAGCTCATTCCAATTGTTCTGTAGCAGTTAGACATACTAACACTTTAAACCTTCAAATTTGTTCATCTTGAACAAAACTCTTCAGACAGTGAAGTAACTGCATTCTCCCTTTTTCTAGCTGATGACTGCCATGTGATGTTGAGAGAGAACTAGTAACTGCCACAAGCATCCTTGTTGCAGTAGAGTACAGTATGGGTGGGTCTTTTAGCATCTCTTAATTAAATATCAAAGATATTAATGTTCAGTTTTAAAAGAGTTAGCCTTGTGCTTTACCGAAATGAAGCTGCTTTGGCATTAGCATCAATTGTATTAAATAATGCGTTGTAGCCAGAAAAAGTTTAGAACACAAAGTTAAACTGGTCTGAAGTGATTTTAGGTGGCAGTGTGTAATTATCATTACTAGTATCTGCCCTTTACTCTAGAAGGCTGTAGAATCTTTTAGTTCTTTAGTTTCACCCCAGCGTTGAAACCTCGTTAGTTCACTGTCTTCTAATTCTGAAGCAATATTTTCTTATTGAAATTTTATCACTTTTGCTCCTGAATAGCTGCGTTTGTTTCAAGGGGATTAGGAAGAACATGTTTCAATTCAGCATTTGAAAGCAATCAAAAACCTAGACTAACCAACTCTCAAGCTTTTTATTTAATCTTCAGAGGACTCCTGTGTCAGCGTTGTTTACAGTCTGACAAAATTATTACAAATTATGCTTTTGTGTAATTATTGCAGATCTTTGATATGCTATTTGAGCCCATTTATTGTAAATATTTGCAATAAATTAATTGTTCTCCTTTTACAGTAAAGAATACATACATGGCAGACATACAGAAGCTGAGAAACGAGAATAAAGTAGATTGTAGCTTTCTGCATTCCTCATGAAGTCTTTTACTGTGTTAACTTCCTAGGTTTTAAGAAATGCGGTACATGTTGAGGAAGCCAAAGTGGAGAAGTGTGTCAGAGATGTAATGAAAGAAAAGAAAATTGAACAGAAGGATACAGGGTATGTTTGGAACCCAAACATAAGTTCTTCGTGGCAGATAATTCTGACTTCTAAATCTGATAGAATATTTAGGCTATTCAGCACAAATCTTTAGAATGACATTAGAAAATAAGGTATGGTTACATCCTCTTCAGTTCTAGAAAATACATTTCAGAGTTTTAATTGACATGGATTTGGGATAACTCCATCTTTATCTTGCAAGTCCCTTCTGTTACTCCTTATTTCTGAGTAATGTGATTATTGCATAGGTTGGTTACATGAACTATGAAATTGCTCAGAGATATTTAAGAGAGCATAGTGGTGCCTGATTAATGTTTGCATTCATCCACATGAGTAACTACGAGCGATGGAGAGGAAAAATTGTGAATAGTCAAAATTTTAAAGTTTAGTGAAACGTTTCTTTGAAGCTATAAGTAGTTCTGACAAAATTTCACTTTAAGACTTACGGAAAGTTTGGGGGTAGCTTTTTAGGCAAAGGTACAGGGGGGTCAGGATGATACATGGAGTTTTCTTGTGTCATCACAGATTTTAGCTAAGTTATGTTTTCTTTCATAATTTAAGTGAATAGGGCCTGACTGTGCAGCGTTGGATTCAGCTAGATTTTTTTAAAAGTAGAAATAAGATCAAGATAGCAGCGTACTTAACTGATATGCTGTAGTTTGAAGGATAAACATAAAGCACTTTGTAATTTCTAGGGTTTGCGTTGTATTAACATAAGAAAAGTCTTATCTGGTAGTTCAAGCAAGAATTTATGGCTAACTACACCTCTTTAATAGCTTCTGTGTGGTGTTTTGTTATTATTTCAGGTTTAAGACAAATCTGCATATATCCTTACTGCAGATAACAGGTTATAAAAAACTTTATTTGAATGTGGAAAATCTGAGGAAAGTCCCATATGATTCAGATAACGAAGAGCATGAGGAACAGTTAATTGAGGTAAAAATAATCTTTTCAATACAAAAGCTGTTTTTGTGTTTGTTTTTCCCCTCCAAGTCCAACAGCTTGAATGAGCTTAATTTATTGGTAGCATTCTTACCAGCTGGCCTATTTAAAGCTCTTTTCTACTTGTGAACTGCTAAGCTGTTACAGAAGTGACACATTAAAACACAACTTCAAAGCAAGACAAATTAGTAAACTAGAGTTACTTGCACTGGGGTTATTTTGTGTGAAATCAGACATAACAAGACAACATAGGTAGCAAAATAATTTTGTAACAGGTCACTGAAGGATCATAACTAAAAAGATATTTAACCTTGTGCACATGCCTAACTTTGTAAACCAATAATTACTAAATAAAAAAAGACATTAGTGTTTTCTTATTACTGCATCCCAGTCAATGTCAAAGAGGATAGTTTAATGCTGGAAGATAACAAACTATCAGTAATGTATTTTGGGTAACACTAAATAACGGCAAGAAAATAATATAATACTGCTTGAGGCTTTTTTAAACAGCTTCTACTGTGCAAATATATGAGCATGTCATTTTCTTAGCATTTCATAGTTATCTCAACTTGCTATACAAGTCCCAACACTGACACGTGAAGTAAGGGTTGATTGAGAATTTGTATTTCAGTTTATAGTTGTCCTATCAGAAAATGATAAATTAATTTCTGAAGCAAAACAAGTCTTTGTTTCTTTAGTATTGACAGAATGGCTTTGTCCGTGAAGGGAAATTATCACATTTAATATTAAATGTAATCATTTTCATAATTGCTGAAATAAGCCGCTGTAGTATGACTCCAGATTGCCACTAACAGAAAGGATCAGCATGCAGATGGTTTCTCCTCTTCCTTGGTGAACAGTTTCTAATGTGCAGCAGCAAGTGGTCTGAATTATGTGACTTGGAATACTTTAGCAGCTGTGCGTAACATGGAAGCATATTTATGCAGCTTTGGAATTTGCTGATGCCTCATGAGAATCTGAAGGCCAGAATCACCAAGCAGTGGTGTGACATTGGCTTCCAAGGTGATGATCCCAAAACAGACTTCAGAGGAATGGGCCTGCTGGGCTTAGTGAATCTGGTGTAAGTGAAAAGAAGTATTTGATTTCTTTTGCAGCTCATTTTCAATATCTACGCGTTTTCTGTAGTTAGTGCTGTTTCTAATAAAGACTGAATAGAAGCAAATGGAAATGGTGGCTTCTGTACAGGGAAAAACCAAGTTTTCTCACCAAGTAACATTTCTAGCAGCTGTGCATCTGTAAACCTGTGGTTGGGTAGAGGCCAAAAGCAAGGGGGGAACAGAAAGTACCCAAGACACCTTATTTTTTGTTGTCATATGCTAGATTTGATAGGTTATAACTTAGAAAGTAACCTGTCAAAAGCTTTAAAATTCCCGAATTAATTACTGTAATGAAAAACAAGGAGGTTTGCATAACTTCGCCAAGTTAATTTGTGGACCTGGGTGAACTTCGTATTTGATGTTCAGATCACTATGATTTTTTTCTTACTGTATTAGTTCATGCTGAATATAATTTAATTTACTGCCTTTTCCTTGGTTTTCATTTTGTGATGTTTTTCAGTACAGAGTAGTATTCAGCTTTAGTTTGAAGATACACATTAATATTTTTTTTTTATATGAACTTAAAAATAACAGAAGGTCCTGTTTTACACTGACAGGTATTTTAGTAAGCATTACACGGACGAAGCTCGTCAGATCCTTTCTCGTTCAAATCACCCAAAGCTGGGGTAAGTCACTATGACTTTTTCTGGCTTGTTCTGTGTAAGAGCTCACGTGAACCCTGCCAAGTGTGTGTCCTGAAAATAAAGAGGAAAATATTTGTGTTTTTTTCCATTAAAGGATGAAAAAAAAGGGCCAAAGTAGAAAGGCATGTGAAACCAAACTCAGAAATCAATTTCAGGCTAGGAGCTGTGTGCACCTTTTTTTTTTTTTTTCAGAATAGATTTGTTAGGACAAAAATGTTGCAAAACATCGCTTTTGGTTAACACAGTGAACACCTTCAACATCATAGTCAGTTTTATTTGTAATAGGCTTAGATTAGATTTACAAACAAGTACTTTTCACCTTCTTAGTGAAGCTGTGTTGGGATGATATACATTATCTTTTAAGGCCCCTTTTTTTGCTAGGTTTCTGTTCTGTATTAAGTATATACAAATCGATGTTTTGTTTTTCAACTTTAACTTCATTTTTGAAAACTTTGCATATTAAAACATTTAGCTCATTTTACAGGGAAATATACTCTAAAACCAGTCAGGTACAGAGGAAACTGCTAAACCTGTGTATATCATCCGATCCATCTAGTCTCATTATTGCCTAATCTCATACCATCTCATTGCCTAATGGAGGCATTTGCCATACTCTTGTACAGGAAACCAGAGTTTTTAAATAACTTTTACATGGTTGGATGCACCAGGGAATGGAAGGAATGGTCTGTAGGCCAGAGCCAGCTTGTCAACAAGTATCATAGGAAGAACTGGCTCTTACAGTTATCCTAAGGCAGGCTGTTTCAGGGAAGCTTTTAAGTCCTTCGATCCATAAGGTAAAACGTGACCTGTGATTGGTGTTGCAGATACTCGTATGCAATAGTTGGCATCAATCTGACAGAAATGGCATATAGCTTACTTAAGAATGGTGCTTTAAAGGCTCATCTGTACAACCTGGTCTCTGGATTGCCACAGATGGAGCACTTCCATCAGTTTTACTGTAAGTATCTGGAGCTTCTTTAGTACCGACTATCGGGGGAGGCCTACAGCGTAGAGTTTAGGTTTCTTGGAAGGCGTTTCCACTCTTTTCTCATTAGCCAGAGCAAGATGTTTATCTTCTGGATTAGGTAGTGGAAACGCACCTTATGCTTAAACACTGTGCTACGGAAACATACATTTAAGGGATAAATTTGGGTGGCTTTCTATATATTGGAGACCACAGTCTGCAAACTCAGTGTTTTCAGATTTATTTTTTTATTCGTTATTACAGTGTCCAGAAGCTTGCTGTTGACCTGCATGGGACACTCCCTATTTTAAGGGATTGAACAGAATCTAAAGGATCATTCTAAGTCTAGCTAGATTAAGGCAGAAAATTGTGGAGGTCATTTTGCAGATCTGTATTTTATTTTCTTCACAGGTTATCTGGTTTATGAGTTTGACAGGTTCTGGTTTGAAGAAGAACCAGAAAGCATTATGCACTTCAACCAGTACAGAGAGAAATTCCATGAAAAAATTAAGGGACTTCTACTGGATTGTGATGTGATACTAACCTTACAAAATACAAAGAAACCTTAACTCCTCTGCAACATGCGAGGTTCTGCATCGAAAATGGAGTTGCGCATTCAGATGGAAGTTTTGCATGTTTCACCAAAAACTGTTTAACAATAGAACATTTTTTTTACATTTAAAAAAATAATCAAAATTCAGTTAAGAAAGCTTGGACAATCAACCTCTGTTTACAGGTCTTTATATGCTACTCTCCAAAGGACAGCTTTTTTTTAAAAAAAAAAACCAATAAAAAACAACCAACAGATCAACACAAAAACAACCCACAAATCTCAAGAGCCTCTGGATTGGTTGTTTTCACAATTTCTTTTACATTTCTTGGTGCAGGAACACGAAGCAGGTATTTATGCTGCATCATGTTTTCCATGAATAGGTTTGACTGTTAATTGTCTTTTTAAAAAGTTCTTTTAGTTGAAATGACTCTGGTTTTAGACTTTTTGTGTTCTTGTTCTGTACACGTACGTAGTCGATCGTTCACTCATCAATGTTAGATTTCTCTGTAATGAAGAGGCCCATGAAGGGGATGTATTAGTCACCTATGATTTTGGAGAAGAGGCTTAATCCATCAACATACTGAGGTACTTGATAGAAATTACTTTTGGCTAAGGAAGTTTTTTTTAATCTATGGATTTGTACCAGCAATTTCCCATGCTTGGAAAAAGCTTAGTTTGCAAACAAACAAAAAGAACCACAAAT